ATCCCACCTGGAACCCCCCTTATCCCAGCTGGAACTCTTGCTGGAACCCCTTTATGCCAACAAGAACCCCTCTATTCCAGCTGGAACCCCTCTAATTCAGCTGGAACCCTTTATTCCAGCTGGAATCCTTCCTGGAACACCCCTCATTTCAGATGGAATTCTTTTATTTCCTGCTACAGCCCCTTTATTCCACCTGGAACCCCTTTGCTCCAGCTGGAATCATTGCTAGAACCCCTTACTCCAGGTGGAACCCCATTATTCCACCTGAAACATCTTCATTCCATCTGTAACCCCATTATCCCACCTGTAACCCCGTTATTCTACCTGTATCCCAATTATTCCATCTGTAACCCCTTAATTCCACCTGAAACCCCTTTATTCCATCTCTGCTTCACCTGCAACCTCATTATTCCATCTGTCACCTCTTTATTCCATCTTTAACCCCTTTATCCCCCCTGTAACCCCATTATTCCCCCTGTAACCCCATTATCCCACCTGTATCCCCATTATTCCACCTTTAACCCCTTTATCCCCCCTGTAACCCCATTATTTCCCCCGTAACCCCATTATCCCACCTGTATCCCCATTATTCCACCTTTAATCCCTTTATCCCCCCTGTAACCCCATTACTCCCCCTGTAACCCCATTATTCCACTTTTTAACCCCATTATTCCACTTTTTAACCCCATTATCCCCCCTGTAACCCCATTATTCCTCTTTTTAACCCCATTATTCCACTTTTTAACCCCATTATTCCATCTTTAACCCCTTTATCCCCCCTGTAACCCCTTTATTCCCCCTGTAACCCCATTATTCCATCTTTAACCCCTTTATTCCCCCTGTAACCCCTTTATTCCCCCTGTAACCCCATTATCCCACCTGTATCCCCATTATTCCACCTTTAATCCCTTTATCCCCCCTGTAACCCCATTATTCCACTTTTTAACCCCATTATTCCACTTTTTAACCCCATTATTCCCCCTGGAACCCCATTATCCCCCCTGGAACCCCATTATTCCACTTTTTAACCCCATTTTTCCACCTGAACCCCCATCCCAGCTGTCCCCACTCCCCCCGAGGGTGACACTTCCCATCCATCCCTGCATCCCGATTGTTGCCAAGGCAACGCTTTGGGAAGCAGGGAGCTTCATTATCCGTTTCTCTATGGAATTCAAAAAAAAAAAAAAGAAATAAAAACCCCTTTTTGGATGAAATTTTGTTCTCTCCCCGCTGCCTGAAATGTCCCAGATTTGTCCCCGACCCTTCTGTGTCTGTGGATTAATCCAAGGCCGCTTCCAAAGTGAATTTTCTGAAATTTCAGGGAATTCTGAGGGATCAACCCATCCCAGGCTCGGGAATAAAGCACAGAGAGCTGGAAAAAAAAAAAAAAAATCCCCCCTGGGCCATTCCCAATGCGTGAATTGTTGTTAATTAAACAGCAATCAAGGGGAAAAAAAAAACTTCCCCATGGGCTGGGATCAATCTTGCTGAGGTTTTATTCTCTCACAGCCAACAGGGACTAAAAATTTGTTCTGGGATGGGAAAAATCTGATAAATGTTGGAAATCCAAAACCCGTTTGCAAGGAGGAGATTTCTCCGATGGCAGCAGAGCAGAGCTGATCATTATCAGTGAAAAGAAACACCTGAAATCAATTTAAATAAATTAAACAGCTCCACTTCTGTGAAAAAAAAAAAAAATCCAGGAAAAAAAAGCACCTGAAATTATTTAAATTAATTAAATTGAACAACAGAATTCCAGTGCTAAAAATTGAGAAAATATTGGTGTTCAGGACCCCAAAATTCCCCTATTTTTCCCCCCCAAACAATTCCCCATTCAGGTGCTGCCAGGTCAAGCTTTGTCCAGCAAAGTTTTGGCAACAGCTCCTGGGAAAGGTCAGAGCTGTTGTTTGGGTTGGTTCAAGGTAAGTTTCCACTTTATTTTATTTTATTTTTTAGGAGAGAAAAGAATTTTAAAAGAAAGAAACTTGAAAGAATTTTAAAAGAAAATAATTTTAAAAGAATTTTAAAATAATTTTAAAAGAATTTTAAAATAATTTTAAAAGAATTTTAAAATAATTGTAAAAGACTTTTTAGAGATAAAAGAAGAGAATTGCTCCTTTTTCCTGTTAAAATCAGCTTTTCCCAGCAGCAACTCCCACATTATTTTTTTAAGAGATAAAAGAATTTTAAGATTATTGTTAAAGAATTTTTAAAGAATTTATAAAGAATTTAAAAAGAAATTTTAATAAGAATTTTTAGAGATAAAAGAATTGTTCCTTTTTCCCCGTTAAAATCAGCTTTTCCCAGCAGTAATTCCAAACTACGGGGCACCAACTCTTGGAGATAATTAAACCCAATTAAAGGTGATTATTGACCATGAATGAGCTGCAATAAATGCATCGAGAGGCAGAGGAAAAAAAGAGATTTTACTGCAAGAACTTTATTGCACCAGGTTCAAGTGCTGAGCCAGGAGCTGTGCCTGGGGCTCGGTGACACCCCCAGCTCCTGGGGACACCGGGACAATCTGCATTTCCCCCGCTAATTAAGGCTGGATTTGATAATTAGGACAAAACAAATCAAGGGGGGAATTAGGGGAGCAGCGGGAAGAATGTGAAGTTGTACATGGAGCATTTAAAATTTGGTTTATTTTATTGTTCCTCAGGAGGAGTTGGGGTTTGCGTTCAGCTCAGGACCCTCCCCTCTCATCTGAATTTCAGAATTTGTCAAATTGGTTTAAAAACCAGGATACCTTTGGCTAAAAATTCCATTTTTTCCTTTGCAGAAAGGTTTGTTTTTATTGACTCCTCACGCTCTGAGGGGTGGGAGGGGAAGGCAAAGGGCAGAATTGTGATTTCAGCACCATTTCCCTCCCTCCCCAGGGCAGCACACACCCCAAAAAACACTCCCAGCTCTCCTTGATCCATGGAAAAATCAGAATATTCCACAGGGAGGAGGGAATTCAGCACAACCTGGAGGCAGGGAGGGTTTGGGAGCTCCCCTGAGGGGCTTTGACAAACACTGACATTGTCTGGGTCAATTTATAAGATCTCTGCCAAGGTTGGGATTCCTAAAGTTCATTTTATGTGTTCTGGAAAGGCTCCTGCGGGAGTTTGGGAAAAGGAGAAATCCTGGGAAAGGAGGATGAGGAAGGGATGGGGACGAAACTTTACTTGCTGCAGGTACAGCCCAAAAAACCAAAATTTCAAAATATCCTGAGGGAACAGGGCCTGAAACCTGGATCCAAACCCTTCCAAGGCTGGGTATTGTGGAAAACATATGGATACTATGGGAAAAAATATGGATAAAAATATGGATATAATGGAAATTTACCCACGAGAATGTGCAAGATCACTCCTGGGGCAGCCAAAATCAAAAATGTGTTTTGTAGGAGCAGCCTGGCCTGCTCCTAAAATCCCTTAATTTATTCACTGGCAGCCCCACAAAATCCAAATTTTTACGGTTTGCTGATGAAGGATGTCAGGATTTTGGGGTGGAAATTTGGATTCTCCCTCCCCAAAACCCCTAAAACAAATAAGAAGGCAATCAGAGGCTCAGCTGACAAAATTCCCCCTCACACCAAGTGAGGCCTTCCCTCAAAATCCCAATTCCCTGTGCTCAGCAAGGTGGATCCAAACCCTTCTAAAGCTGGTTATTATGGGAAAAATATGGATATTATGGAAAAAAAAATGGATATAATGGAAATTTACCCACGAGAATGTGCAAGATCACTCCTGGGGCAGCCAAAATCAAAAACGTGTCTGGTAGGAGCAGCCTGGCCTGCTCCTAAAATCCCTTAATTTATTCACTGGCAGCCCCACAAAATCCAAAGTTTTAGGGTTTGCTGATGAAGGGTGTCAGGATTTTGGGGTAGAAGCTGGGATTCTCCCTCCCCAAAACCCCTAAAACAAATAAGAAGGCAAGCAGAGGCTCAGCTGAGAAAATTCCCCCTCACACCAAGTGAGGCCTTCCCTCAAAATCCCAATTCCCTCTGCTCAGCAGGGTGGATCCAAACCTTTCCATATGTGGATATTATGGAAAAAAAGATGGATATTATGGGAAAAAATATGAATATGATGGAAAATTATCCAGGAAAAGGTGCAAGATCACACCTGAAGCAGCCAAAATCAAAAATGTGTTTGGTAGGAGCAGCCTGACCAAAATGGCTCCTGAAATCCTTTAATTCGCTCCCCAACAGCTCCACAAAATCCAAATTTTTAGGGTTTGCTGATGAAGGATGTCAGGATTTTGGGGTGGAAATTTGGATTCTCCCTCCCCAAAACCCCTAAAACAAATAAGAAGGCAATCAGAGGCTCAGCTGACAAAATTCCCCCTCACACCAAGTGAGGCCTTCCCTCAAAATCCCAATTCCCTGTGCTCAGCAAGGTGGATCCAAACCCTTCTAAAGCTGGTTATTATGGGAAAAAATATGGATATTATGGAAAAAAAAATGGATATAATGGAAATTTACCCACGAGAATGTGCAAGATTATCCCTGGGGCAGCCAAAATAAAAAATGCTCTTGGTAGGAGCAGCCTGGCCAAAAAGGCTCCTAAAATTCTTTCATTTATTCAATGGCAGCCCCACAAAATCCACGTTTTTAGGGTATGCTGATGAATTGTGTCAGGATTTTGGGGTGGAAATCCAAAAAACCCCAATAAAAAAGAATTGGAGGCTCAGCTGAGAAAATTCCCCCCTCACACCGAGTGAGGCCCTTCCTCAAAATCCCAATTCCCTGTGCTCAGCAAGGCTGGGAATGTGGACAGCAGCAAAAACAAAATTAAAATAAAAAAGCCTTTTCCATCTTTCTGACAGAGAAATTAATTTTAAACCCTTGTCTGAATCGCCCCTCGCTCACCAGGACACTTTGGAACATCAGTCTTTTGTGGCAGGATGGATTTTCTGTCTAAAATTAACATTTCAGCCGAATTCTTTGAGGAAAAAATCAGAGTGACACACACAGAGAATCACACACACACTCCCCAAAAAACAGATTTAGGGTTTAGGCAGTGAGGGTCCTGTTCAAGCCCCCCAGGAGTCAGAATTCCATGGAAAACATCCCCAAAATCCCTGGGATGTGCCCAAAAAGGGGCTTAAGGCTGTCAGGCTGTTCCCAGCCAGCTCCTCCTCCTGTCCCTGGTTAAAAACCAAAAAAAATTTCCTTTTTTTAAAGAGTTTAAAAAGGAATTCACATCTCAGGAATTCACATCCCTGGCTGGGGGTGCTTTTGTCACCTCGAGAAAATCCTTTCTGCACAAGGCAATGCTCTGCTGCTTTTCCTTAGACATAAAGTTGACTTTATTTCTTTTCTTAAAAAGTTAAAAATACAGAAGGTTCAGAAACTGCTTTTCTCCTTGCAGGTTGCAGCTTAAGGAGAAAACAATCCTTCACTGAAATGTTTCTCTTAATTGGCTTTTTTATTATTATTATTATTATATATTTTTCTAATTTTGGGGTTTTTTTCCTCTCAATCATCACCACCCTCTTTTTTTGTTAAGGACAGAGGTTGAGGAGCACTGACTCCACCACTAATTTAATGACATTTTTTTTCTTTTTTTTGATTCCAGATTCACATTTCCAGGTGCCAAGAGTCCAGAGAAGAGCCCCCCGCTCACTTCTGCCTTCCTTTTGAGATCAATATTTTGGTTTTTGTGTTTATTTATTGAACACAGCAGTGACCGTTGGCATCTTTGAAGCGTAATCTCATCTTGGGCCGGTATTTCTCCAGATAAAGCAGCTGTTTGGAATTGAAAGCTCCCCTCCTTTTCCTAAAAAAATAAACCAGAAAAAAATGTAGATATCAATGGAGAAAAAAAAAAAAAAAAGCACCTTTATGTTCACTTCAGGCAGAGTAGTTTTAATTGTAATTATTTTAATTTATATTTAATATTATTCAAAATGTATTGAAAGCTCCCCTCCTTTTCCTAGAAAATAAACCACAAAAAATGTAGATATCAATGGAGAAAAAAAAAAAAAAAACACCTTTATGTTCACTTCAGGCGGAGTAGTTTTAATTTTAATTAATTAATATTTTGATAATAGTTTTATATTTAATAATATTCAAAGTAGATGAAATAAATATTATTGAAAGCTCCCCTCCTTTTCCTAAAAAATCACAAAAAACCTGGATATCAATGGAAAAAAAAGCACCTTATTGGTCACTTCAGGCAGATTAGTTTTAATTTTAATTAGTTAGTATTTTAATAATACTTTTGTATTTAACAATATTCAAAATATATGAAATAAATATTATTGAAAGCTCCTTTCCTTTTCCTAAAATCACAAAAAACCTGGATATCAATGGAAAAAAAAGCACCTTATTGGTCACTTCAGGCAAATTAGTTTTAATATTAATTACTTAAAATTTTAATGATGTTTTATATTTAATAATATTCAAAATATAATAAATATTATTGAAAGCTCCCTTCCTTTTCCTAAAAATACCCATAAAAAAGGTGGATATCAATGGAAAAAAAGGCACCGTTTTGCCCACAAATTCATTTTCATTTTAATTAATATTTTAATAATATTTTATAATGAATAATATTCAAAATATATTCAAATATATGAAATAACCAATATTATTGAAAACTCTCATCCTTTTCCTAAAAAAAAAAAAACACCACCACAAAAAAGGTGGATATCAATGGTAAAAAGGCACCATTTTGCTCACAGATTCCTTTTCATTTTAATTAATTACTATTTTAAATACTATTTTATATTTAATGCTAGTTAAAATATATTAAAGAATAAATATTATTGAAAGCTCCCCTCCTATTCCTAAAAAAATAATAAGAAATGTGGATATCAATGGTAAAAAAGAAGCACCATTTTGCTCACTTCAGGCAGATTTTCACCTCACAAAATTCAAAATATTTGAGCTTTTTCTTCACATTTAAACCCAGATTTTAATGCGATATTATTTATTTTAGGATAAAACTCATAAAAAACCTTAAATCTCTTCCTTAACAGATTCAGGCAGGTAAAAAAGCAGAGAATAAAAGATTCTTGGAGAGGGAAAAAAAAGAAGAATTTCCACTTACTGCCTTATAAACTGAACTGCATCCTCGTACTTCATCCCACACTCGATGAGAGCGAGCGCCACCAGAACGGGAGCCCTGCAGGAACAAATCAATATTGAAGGGAGAAGCACAGAAATAATAAAAAATAAAGAAATAATAAATGGAATCCTTCAGATTTCATCCAATTCCTCTCCCCAGACAAGCACTGAAGGGATTTTTCCCTCAGTGTTTCCCACACAAAGGTGTTTCGCCCCATGTAAAATGAGTTTTTATGGAAGGAAAGGAAAGGAAAGGAAAGGAAAGGAAAGGAAAGGAAAGGAAAGGAAAGGAAAGGAAAGGAAAGGAAAGGAAAGGAAAGGAAAGGAAAGGAAAGGAAAGGAAAATGAGAGGGAAAGAGAAGGAATAGGAAAGGAGAAACAAAAGGAAAGAGGGAAGGGAAGGGAAGGGAAGGGAAAGGGAAGGGAAGGGAAGGGAAGGGAAAGGGAAGGGAAGGGGAAGGGAGAGGGAAGGGAAGGGAAGGGAAGGGAAGGGAATTTCAAGGAAAAGAAAGGGAAAGGGAAAGGGAGGAAAGGAAAGGAAAGGAAAGGAAAGGAAAGGAAAGGAAAGGAAAGGAAAGGAAAGGAAAGGAAAGGAAAGGAAATTTCAAGGAAATTTCAAGGAAATTTCAAGGAAAGGAAAGGAAAGGAAAGGAAATTTCAAGGAAAGGAAAGGAAAGGAAAGGAAAGGAAATTTCAAGGAAAGAAAAGGGGAAAGGAAAGAGGAAAGGAAAATTTTTATTTCCTTTTCTTGCAAAGGAAATAAAAATCAATAGCAGCTCTAGTGGTTGAGTATGAGAATAATTCTGGGTTTTATCTCACTTTAACCTCATTTTCTGGGTTTTGACATCTCCTAAAGTGTGGAGTGAGCTGTGCAGACACTGAGCTATGGCTTCAGAGATATTTCTAGATTTTTCTTTTTTAACTAATTCTGTCAAGGAGCAGGGACAAGAAGAATTTTCTGCTGTGGGATCTTCATTTCAGAAGTCACTTCAGGGTAAAAAAATGGGGTTTTAACAGCCAGGAATCCCCGAATAAATTGAATTTCTCCACCCACAGTGCAAGGGGCACTTCTAAGGGTGGTGTAAAGAATTAAAGAGGTGCCAGAACCGGACAATTTCTGTGGTTAAAATAAGAAAATTCAGGAGGAATAATTCCTATTATTACCCTGTACCTGAATAAATTCAATTATTCATTCTCCAGATGGGAATTTGATCAATTCACAACAATTTTATATCACTGAATTCATGATTGACACAAGTGTCCCCCAAGGTTTTTGATCAATTATGAAATTAATCAATTAATTCATATAACGTATGAATATAATACACTGTAGATATATAATAATTTCATAATTAACAATAAATTTAATGAATTAATTAATATTTTTAACCTACATCAAGTCCCTGTTGTTTTCATGACACAAATTTGATGTTAGTTTAAGTTATTTGGGAAAAAGCAAAGAAAGTTTGTTAAACACCTTCCTACCAAATACATGAAATTTATTATTATATTTATTAGATTTATTATTTAATATAGTTAAATAATTATTTGAATTATTATATAAATGATATTAATTTATTAACAGAACATTTCATAATAATTATATTGATTTAGTATTAAAATTTATTATTTAATAAAATCAAATATTTAGTATATTTACTATTAACCATTATATTTAATAGTATTGATTTATTGACATAAAAATATTAATAATTATATTTAGTATTTATATTTACTATTTCATATAATTATTAGTTGATTTACTATTATTATATGAATTATATTGATTTATTAATATAAAACTGTTAATATATTAGTTCTGTATTTAAATTTATTACTAAATTCAATACAAAATTACTTATTTATTTTAACTAATAAATTTAATATAACTAACTAATTAGTTTATTTACTATTAATTAATTAATTAATTCTATTGATTTACTGACATAGAATTGTTAACAATTCTATTAGTTCCGTATTCAAATTTATTAATAAACTTAATATGGAATTATTTATTTAATTATTTTAACCAATAAACTTAACTTAATATAATTAAATAATTCTTTGACTTACTATTATTATATGAATTACATTGATGTATTAATATAGAATTGCCAACAATACAATAATTTGTTAATTACAATTATTATTTAATCAAATAATAATGATAAAAATAAGACATTTAAGAATGAATTTAAAAATCATTTATGAATATTTTCATTAAATTTATTATATTTAAAGCCAATTTCAGGGCACTGACCTTCCCAGCCCTGCCACACAGTGCACAGCCACGCAGCACCCGGGCTCCTCCCGAAATTTGCTTTTCAAAAGGTTCAGCCAATCCTCCACGATCTGGCTGGGGGGCGGCGCTCCATCATCAAACGGCCAGTCCTGAGGGGAGAAAATCCTTTAAACCCACCAATTCTGCATTTAGTACAAAAAAAAAAAGGATAATAAACACAATTTTGGGGTATTTTTCAGGTTTGCAGGTGGATAAAATGCAAAATTGAATGTTTAAAAACCATTATCTGGCTGGGGGGCGGTGCTCGGCCAGTCCTGAGGGGAGAAAGTCCTTTAAACCCACCAATTCTGCATTTAGTTAAAAAAAAAAGGATAATAAACACAAAAAAAAGGATAATAAACAAAATTTTTGGGGGTTTTTCAGGTTTGCAGGTGGATAAAATGATAAAATGCACCAATGAATGTTTAACAACCATTATCTGGCTGGGGGGTGGTGCTCCATCATCAAATGGCCAGTCCTGAGGGGAGAAAGTCCTTTAAAACCCACCAATTCTGCATTTAGTTAAAAAAAAAAAGGATAATAAACACAAAAAAAAGGATAATAAACAAAATTTTGGGGGGTTTTTCAGGTTTGCAGGTGGATAAAATGCAAAATTGAATGTTTAACAACCATTATCTGGCTGGGGTGGTGGTGCCCCATCATCAAACGGCCAGTCCTGAGGGGAGAAAATCCTTTAAACCCACCAATTCTGCATTTAGTTAAAAAAAAAGGATAATAAACACAATTTTGGGGGTTTTTCAGGTTTGCAGGTGGATAAAATGCAAAATTGAATGTTTAAAAACCATTATCTGGCTGGGGGGGCGGTGCTCGGCCAGTCCTGAGGGGAG